AAGAGCAGAATTGTCGCCAGACCAAGCAGACTTGGGGGAGGTCAATTGGAAAAGTCGGGAGGGGGTGAATCTATGAGTTTACCACATTGGGCGACACCCTAGTCAAGCCACTGAGCGAAAGGCTACTCTAGTTGTAATTTAATACTTGTTAAAAATTGAAAACACGTAATACAATTAATTATGTATTTTTTTCAATTTATACCTTTTTCAACTTTCAAATAGAGCCTTTTAAATTATATGATATGATGTTTTTGTGGGGGGTGAGGTGTTTGAATAATTTATTACCGGTGAAAGTTTTTAAGCGCGAGGGAGAAGTTTAATTTCACTTATATCAGCATACTCCCCTACCATTCACCAGTCTTTGCTTCTAAGTTGCTTATAAAGTTTTTGAATGATATTTCAATTTACCGTACTTTATCTTTAATATGTTTTTAAATTTAATGAAACATCGAACTGTTAACAGTGTTTTAAAACAAATAAATACTGTAGACTTTTAATGAAAACAATTACATTTTTAAGAATTTGTTGTTGTTTTTTTTTAAATTTATTATTATTATTTTCTGTGGTCCTTTTGTGGGATGATTTCTAAAATTTCTAGATACAACATACATACATAGCGCTCTTTAAAAAGAATGTGATTTATATAAGAAGTTGATTTTTGCCCACCCCCTACCCTCACATTCCCGCTCCCTGGCCAGAAATTATAATAAATATGTTGAGTAGGCTTAAAGACACCACTAAATTAGGTTTAGTTCATTAATATGACCGTTACCTCCGCCTTAAGTATGGTTTCCACTCTTATCCCGTATTCCGCCACTGTTTTGTCGTTGTCGAGTAATTTCCCCTGAAATTTTAAAGTCACCTGGCTGCTTTTGACTTTCTCTTCTGCTGCGATTGAGTTACATAATTCTTGAAGCTTTTGAGATGGTAAAACTTCATAACGTGCATTTCTTCCTGACGGAAGTTTGACGAAGATCTCACTACCATTTGTTGCCATTTTTTTCCTACAGAGAAAAGAACCAGTTTATACACAACAAAATTAATAAATTAGACTTAATTATTTCTGGTTAGGCATTCTCTAGCCCCACGCCCACCCCACGGGCCTGGTGCCCTCTCTACCATATCTCTTTATCTCTCTCCTTACGGTGAACAATGTAACTGTCTTTGGCGTAGGCTATATCGATACGGACTTCAGGATAAAAATACTGGTCTTTTAAGAAAATCAAAATAGATCTACAATGTTTTTTTTTTTTTGTTTTTTTTTTAAAGAAGCTTTTGTTTAAAGGCGGCAAGATGCAGCCTATTAATCTAAATTAAACAAACTGTAAATAAAGGCTAGTGTTTAATTCATAAATAAAAAAAATTGAAGTTTAAAAGTTTGCCTTAAATTTGATAATATTATATTGGTCACAATTGTTTCTTTTTTGCTTTTACTTACAAACAAAAATAAATACTTTAATATTATTATTAATTTAATATGACAATAAAATTTCCTTTAAATTACCCATTAAAAAATACTTCACTCGTGAAGAAACAGGCAGCATCTAAAAAACATTGTTTTTCTAAACTTACTTCTAAGAAGAGAAATAGCTATATAGAAATTAATTAAAAATACCTTGTGTTTTTGTTGAAGTTGACTTAAATGCAGTCAAAATAATTTCATGCTGGGTTTTATCATTAGCCCATGCGTTGATCTAATAATATGAACCAATCAAATTATATTTATTTTTAGATGACCTAATATGGAGGGGTAGGCCTAATGTTATCTTAAAATAGTTTGCTTGTTCACCGCTCCTTGCGAGTGAAAATGTTATTAGTTTTTACTAACTTTTATCAAACCCCAGTAATTTTCTTTTCTTAATGGGGTTGATGTTTACTGAAATTTCGGTTACCAACCGAAAATTATAAAATTTACAGATATTTTTTAATGGCAGTCCTCCTAACGCCGGTCCCAAATTCAAAACACTCTAGTAAAAAGCATCAAATGGGCTGTTTCTTTGGCAGTTCAATATCAATTAGGTTAAACCAAGTGTATGGTCAAATGTGATAGTTGTCACTCAAAAACTGTAAGTAATGTCCGCAAACAAACAAAATAAAAATAATAAAATCAATGCAAACATGTTCTTTGTGGCTATAGTGCCACTGGGAAGCACACCAATAGATTGTAAACAGATCAATAGTTCAGTCCCTCAAAAGTCTGAGTGTATTTCTGGGTGGACGGGATGTACGAAATCTTGGGCATGCACTACGATATCATGCTGATAAACTCCGTTACTAATTTGATTGACGTCAGCATAGCCAGCTGGGTTTCTTTCAGGCATCTCTTGGGGGTGGGGGGTGGGGGTGTTTTCGCCCCCCCCCCCGTAGAAAGTCAAATGCCCCCCCCCCCGAGCAAAGTGGTTAAAATAAAAACAATAGAATGATTATATATTTTTTAAATTAAAAACGACTTAATTGTCATTTTTAAACAGTTTTAAAAAGAAAGTATCTAGTGCCTTGATCCGATTACAATTAGGAGAATATATCAAATATCGCTACACTCGATATATTTGATGATCCGTAATATTTAATTAAGGCTAATCTTGTTAAAGGCTACGGTACTCGATTAAAAGTACCCCCCCCCCGAAAATTTTAAATGCCCCCCCCCCTTTTTTTTTCCCAGGGGAGATATTGAAAGAAACACTGATAGCCAGCCCATACATCAGTAACATTTAACAATGACATTTCCTGGAAGTACATACATGATCAGTCAAAATGCGTTCAATTGTTGGCGCATTTTTCCGTGCTACGATTTCCAATCCACGTGGACCGGCAACATGTTTCACATGTTTATTAAGTGGATCAAGCCGTGGCCAGTTTCCGAGACATCGACCGGCAACAGGTTTCACGTGTTTATTAAGTGGATCAAGCCGTGGCCAGTTTCCGAGACATCGACCGGCAACAGGTTTCACATGTCTATTAAGTGGATCAAGCCGTGGCCAGTTTCCGTGACATCGACCGGCAACAGGTTTCACATGTTTATTAAGTGGATCAAGCCGTGGCCAGTTTCCGAGACACTTGTGTAACCATGCTACAGTGGTGGTTTAAAATACAGCCGCCTACCGAATAATTTTTTAAAATTTAAATGAAATTAGAAACACAAGTGTGTAGGCCCTACGTGAGCATAACACCAACCGCTATATCGTTCTGGTTACACATACTGCAATATGCTTATAAGCGATTGATACAATAGTATGCAACCAGTTAATATACGCAAAGTATGCATGGTAACTATCCTACCATGTGCTAAATTCTCATATAGGAAATTGTGCATGTGTGCTTAACAGCTGTATTAAATAATTAGACACACTGCAATTGCAATGCACTTTCGTCCTAAAAAGACACAGCGATTGATTGATACAACAGGTATCAAACTAATGGTGGTTATGCGTTATAACATGGTAGTAAATGTCCTGCTATGGGTGCATATTATTCAGACACATGGACGACAATACCATAGTAAGTTATAGACCTGTATAATGTTAGCCCTCACACCTCACACTGTTTCTGAATGTAAAACGGTGTACGTGCTACAAGTACAAGTTAAACCCTGGGTAATAAGAGGAGAGACTGCATTCAGGTTAGCACAATATAAAGTGAGTAAAACAGAGTAGGGTTTAACCTGAAAAAAGGAACGCAACAAAACAACGAACGTGTCGGTAGAAAGCCTTCGTCAGCGAACAAAACAACATAAAAAAACGGTAAAAAAATGAGTTTATTACCTATGTTTTTGTTAATTGTTTGTTTAAAAAAACATAAATAATAAAATCATAACCGTATAAATCGTTTTTTTTTCCTTTAATGATTATAATACTTATAATAGGCGCCAAAGTTAAGCCTTAGGTAAACTTTCACCCTGTGCGAAGCACCTGTTCGGCACCCTCTTCCCTGTCTCTGTATCCAAATTAAGAGTGCAGCTTTCATTGTATGAAAACTCATTGTATGAAAAACGATCGTACGAGAAGTTAGAATACCGTTTCTCGACCCCGGACCCGAGGTTTATTACACTTCACTGTAATAAACTAAAGGAATTTTAATATTTACTGGGCGCCCCTATGGCCAAGACGCCCTGTGACAGGGCACAGGTCGCACAGCCTAAAGGCCGGCCCTGCTAAGCATCACACGTCCACTCTCACCACTCGGCTTCAAAAATATGATCCATGCTTGAATTCCCAGCTGCTGCAGACCCTTCTCCACATCATCCATCCATCTAAGCCTAGGTCTGCCTTGAGCCGTTTTCCCCCAGGAGCTTTGTTGGTTGACCCTCTTCCCTCCTCAGTCATTTGGCATTCTTTCTAAGTCGTTGATTTGCTTTGTCTGAATCCACATTGGAAGCCACCTAGTATTTCTTCAGCGTACAGTTGTAGTCTCTTGACAGTTAGTTTTTTCAGTATATTGTATGTAGGCTAACATTTGTATGTAGGCTAACATTTAATAGGGAAATGCATACCCTCAATCCGCCCCTGCACTTTGTACCCAATCTTTAAAAAAAATATTTTAAATTGGCCCTTTTTTTTTTGTACCCAATCTTTAAAAAAAAATATTTTAAATTGGCCCTTTTTTTTTTTTTTTTTTTTTTTTTTCTTTTTTTTTTTTTTATTTATTTTTTTAAAAAAATTTTTTTATATTGGCTTTTTTTTTTTTTTTTTTCGTTTCTTTGAACAGCGTTGGACAGGGCATGGGTAATTTCTTAAGAATTACTAAAATTTTAATGTTAAATACTGTTTAAAAAACATAAATATGCATAAGAATAGTATACTCTTAATATCGTAATATTTATTAGTGTTATTATAATAGACATATCAACACAGCTACTATATCGTGTTCCGGTTTAGATGGAGAGCGATTACTTGAATTATTTATTTTTCCTATCTGTGAAAATATTCATAGAAAAATTGGTCATGTTCTGTACCCAATTTTTAAAAAAAAACCCAAGTTCCCCATATATCATATTTAAGAAGCAGTTTACAGCCAAAACTAAAATAATTTACTAAGATAAAAGTTCGTCTGGTGAAATGAATAATTCGATTTGAATCGTAGTAGTGCTACTGAAACTGGACTACCAATTTTTGTTTAGCGTTCTCTAAGATCTATTTGTAACTCCCCAAAATAAGAGTAGAAAGAGACTGAAAACTCAGTTAATTTTTAATATTAATTTCATTTTCATTATTTTCAAAAATGTCACTTCCACCAGGCTGGAAACGAGAAGAGGTTGTCAGACAATCTGGACTGTCTGCTGGGAAGACTGATGTTTATTATTTTACGTATGTATTTTGTAGTCCTAATTAATGATATTATAATATAATCTAAAACTGTATAATAAAAGATGAAGGATTATGAATTCTGAATTATGATTCAGATAATAATCATAATGATATGAATGACAATCAATGTAATCAAATCAATGATGTGATTAGTCTTAGTGATTAGATAGTTTGGCTGATTATTCAATTTCAGCTAATAACTAATAATACTATTATTAATATATTCTATTGTATTTTGTAAGTCAATGTAAGTCAGTACCAGACTGAAATTAAAGGTAGGTACTTCGATGAAGCAAGGGAGACTACTGAAAATTTTTTATTGGAAATAGGCGTCGGCGCGCGAAAATCTGAGTTTTTAATTTTTTGATAGTGGAACTATTTCATTCATAAAATAATTACTATATCCCAGAATTGTGTACCTCTTCCGGCCTTTTGCTTTTAGAGGACATCTCTTGGCATACATTAAATTAATCAATTTCTTTTTCATTTACAGTCAGTCAGCTTTGATAAAATCCTTGGTGAATATAAGGCAACTTCAACCATTAAAATTAAGTTGAAGTAAAAGACATGTCACTACCAAATTTTGTATGCATCTGGGGCATGTAATGATCTACATGTATGCCAATTTTCACAGCGATATATGTTTTACGAGAGACGCCATGTTTCTATGGGTTCGCAGCAGGTCATGCAGTTCGCTCAGCCTAGTTTTGACATGGCGTGAGCCATGCCACCTTTTTAATGACGGAAGTTGCTTAGGATACTTAGGAAATATTAAATTATTACCACTATTTACATCAAAATATTTGATAACTTGTGTTTCAGAATGCATTTTGAAGACATTTAAACTGGAATGTTTTAATTTGAGCTTTAAAAACCCGGTAGAGTCCATATTATAAATGATCAGAATTTACAGAGTGCAACACGTTGTCATTGGCAATCATTCACAGCCACTTGCATAATGACTGTATCGTAGTACTACCTCAGAGTTTCATTCATAAGAGTTTGCCACATGCAAAAACTATTAAACCATTGGTCAGGGAAAGCTTTAATTAATTATTCATGTACCAAAGTTGAAAGTTTAAACTAAGTCGACCCTAAACAGTATTTTAGTGATAAGGGATGCGTTGCCTTACATAAAGTATATAGTCATTGCGCATGACGTGATCAGCAGAATGAGGTCACAAGATGTGGAGGTTTCGTCCATAGTAAAAAATACCAAGGAACTTACACTTTAAAAAATTCGTACCTCAAAAAGTACTGAAGCTAAAAAGTTGATTCTGGTTTCATTTTTTTATTTTAAATTTGCTTTAACTAACTGTATTATTGAAAAAAAAATTTTTCAATTTTTTTTATATTTGTATTAAAGTACCGGTACCTAAATGTTTGATTGAATATGGTAATATATTTATTTTATATATTATATAAAAAATATATTTTATCTTCATAATAGATTTAAAATTAAGATTTGTTTAATATTTAGATGAATTTATGTTTTGAAATACTTCACATACAAAAAATACTTTCTTTTATTTTATTTCAATTTAAAGGTTTATCAAATGACGTAATATTAATTATATTTGCAATTTGTAGGCAATCGTTGAAGCAGCATAATTCTTTTTTAATTGTAGGGCTTCAATGAAAAACTAATGCTCACTTAGCAAAAAGAATATAAAATTAAAAGACATCCCCTATGCAAGAAAAACTTGTACTATAATCTGAATATTGTAAATTTAATATCAGTGATCAGATTGCAATTTTGCTATCAGAGATGTAAAATGAATTAATATTTTAAGGGACACATGGGTTTACCCGTCCTTATGCTACTTATTATTGTTCTCCTTTTCAATACAAACAATTTGATATACATGATCCTATATTTTGGAGAATATTGTTCATGTTGTGTTCATATTCAAATATGATATATGGAAATTTTACAGCCATTTTGAATATTAATGAACTCATCTTGCGTATCGTAGAATTTATTATATGACGTCTGTTTGGATAATGTTATGACGATCACGGTTATATATGGTTTGTTATGGTGCTATGGTTATCTTCATTAATTCCTTAAATAACTTCAATTTACCGCTCTTTTTTAACATCTCTCTCTATTTTCCTATATGTCTCAATTAACAGAGTTATCCCAAAATAATTCACACAAAAATCATAATTTTCTTTAGAAACGACCTACAAACATTACTTTGGTATCAATAAATTGTATTTGTCAGGCCCTATCCTATCTAACCAACTAGCTCTTAAAGCTACAACTTTATTTTGAAAATTTTAGCCAAGTACCTTTGAGTAAACTTACAAGTATTCTTTATAAAATTTAGTCCAGATAGTATTAGTTAACACTAACACTAAATTGTACAGCACTAACTTTTCTTTTTATTGATTCTTACAGCCCCCATTGGTACATAACGGATAGCATAAACCATCTCTCCATTTTCTTAAATTTTTAAAATTCACCCTTCATGCCAGAGTGAAGTTTTTCAACCGAAAGCATATTCACACAAAAAAAACGAAACAAGAAATTAGATTTTTGATAAATGATACCAAAATTATTTATTGATGGTTAACTTTTCAAACTAAAAGCATGTTCACAAAATAAATTTATATAACATTGGCATGTATATTGGCAGTATTGGCTAGTTTTAGGAGAAATTAAAATTATGAGTTCATTACCACTGCTTGGATTTAATTTAATGAAGAATACACATAAGTTTACATGCCATTAATATGAAATTTGATCAGAAATAATATATGCACCTGAACTGCAAGATTACCATTGAATTTGAATATTATAAAATGTAGGCCTTTATTAGCCTTTATTTAGCTTTAGGCCTATACTTAGACTTAGTATGCCTATATACTATGAATATTTTAATAATAATAATATGGTAAATGTTGGTTTGGCACACCACTCATTTCCATGGCTGCCATCTTGGTGGGTCATGAAAACCAAGATGATCTGCCGTGTAAAAAAAAAAAAAAAGAAAAAAAGTAGTGCAGACACACATCTGCTAACATGGCGAGGGGAGAGATAATGTGCTATTTTAGCTTCTTACCTAGAGAAATAAAAATAAGAACAAAATGTTAAAATTTAATAAAATAATTGCAGCCGTTACATTAATTTCATATTGAACGTAGTTACTTTATTGTATCCCTCTAAATATGCAACAAGAAGTGTCAATGACCTGCGGTCACCACCTTTCCTGGCCTAATTTCAGCCAGTAAATTAATTTTGTGGCAGCGAATGTAGCAACTTTATTGTATCCCTCTAGCTGGCGTAATTTCAGCCAGTACATTAATTTCGTGCCAAACTTAGCATCTTTATTGTATCCCTCTAGATATACTGCAAGAAGCGTCAATGACTTGCAGTCGCTCCTTTTCTCTCAACTAAAACATGTGTGCTACAGTTACACACTGTGGTAAGAAAAGTGTAAGAATGAAGAAAAACAATACCAAATTTTTTTTAAATAATGAAAACCCAACTTACAGTTTCATAGAATACACTTTTCTTCTTCTTCTTCTTTATTTTGAGGGCCCACGATCAATGAATTGATAATTCTGGCTCCTATATTACATACTTTTTTATTATTACACAGTAATATTAATATTCCTATATTACATGGCTTTTACATACTTTATTGCAGGTTCCACCAAAAATAAAATCCAGAAGTTGTCAGAAATCAATACAATGCCCATTTTCCAAAATGCTGGAAAATGTAAATATTATTACTAACCAACCAATGAAATTATAATTTAAAACATTATATTGGCATAATAATATTTTAAAAAAAGAAAAGTTTACTCTAGTAACTATCCAACAATAAACATAAGGGAGAGAATCCTGCAATGAAACTCAAAGTGGCACACTGAACCAATGTTAGCCCTATACTATATTTGATTGGTAGGCTACTTAAGTCTTAACTGACTAAGGTAAAAAAAAAAAAAAAGCCAAAAATTATAAAAATAGTACATTTGTAGCCTCTACCAAAGTATACCTAGAAATAGATCAAACTTTAAAAAAAAAAGGAAACCAGAATAAACTTTCTAGCTTTAGTCTGAGTTACTCAGACTTAGACTTAATAGTTTTAAAGCGCCTGTTTGCTTGTCATATTTAATATTACTATGGACTGCACTTCTGCATTTTGTGACTTGATTTTACTAATTGCATGCGCTGTTCTTGTCATGTGCTATAACAGTATAAATCATGTTATGAGACATTTAACAACTTTTATTTGCAGGATAAATTCTATACTATTACTTTCATTTGAAAAAGACATTGAACATACATTATGCTTTGGTATAAAAATAAATAATTTGTAGCCTTTATTGCAGTGGTTCTCAACCTTTCTAGTGCCGCGACCCTTTAATACAGTTTGTCGTGTCGTGGCGACCCCCAGCCACACAATTATTTTCGTTGCTACTTCATATGTGTTTTCAGATGGTCTTAGGCAACCCCTGGAAAAGGGTCCCGCGACCCCCAAAGGGATCGCGACCCACAGGTTGAGAACCGCTGCTTTATTGCAATCATCGCTATGTATAACCTGTAAATGATGATAGGCTAGCATGTTATGTGAATTAAGGCTATATTTACTATATACATTAAAGGGCATCCATAAATAACGTCAGGCATGGGGGGGGGGGGGGGGGTCCAAATGTATGTNTTAACATTATTTTTCTATACAACTATTATAGTATTATTTTTAACCACTTCATTGCCGCTGGGTTTCAGGGGGGGGGGGCGGGGGTGTTTTTGCATCGATTTTTGCTGACTCAGCAAAAAATATTTTTATTATTATTTTTATTACATATATATAAAAAAAGATTAAATTTTCGGTATATTTCATTCTCTATCCGATTAGCTTTTTAACTTCTTTATAGACCAACAAATAAGGAAATATATAGCATTGAAATTTGAAGTCGACGTGACATCCTTAGTATTTCAGAAAAGCTCTTTTTGTTATGATGACGATGTGACGTCCTTGGTAATTGAAAGTGTGTGAGAGTTGGAACGTCATCGGTAAGGAAGTGGTTAAACTAGTATCACTGAGAGAATCAGTACAGGTATGCGAGATCCAAAAAATGGCTTCTGATCAAGTTAGGACGCCACAGAGTTGAAGAATCGGGGTGTAGTTACAATGACAGTAGTGAGAATTTATGTCTAAATGTGGAGACAGGAGTCATAGAATTAGGACTACCACTTGAAGTGGGATGGAACCAAAAGAATGGTTGACCGAGGGGAGGGGGTTATCTTAGCAAATGCTCTAGGGCAGGGATTCTTAACCCTTTTGCAGTGCTGCAGACCCACTCCATTTTAAAAACCACTACCCCTACCCCACAAACCGTATAAATTAAATTGTAATCAAATTTAAAAAATATAAACATAATTAAATAATTTAGTTATTGTAGTTTTATTTCTTTAATTAACTTTTTATAAACAAAGAAAAAATTACCGATACAAGTAAATTAATGCACCAACAAAATTCACCAGAAAACCATTTACTGCTGCTAATCAAAATGCATAAAAACTGATTTTTTTTAAAGCAGCAACAACTAGCCATTGGAGCAAATACAATTTTAATTTTCTGATCTTCCACACCTCAGGGCTTGAGAGATACTTTTACCCCTGATTAAGAACCACTGTTCTAGTGAAATGTTTGTGACACAGGTGCAGTAGTTTTATATCCATAGGAGGTGAATTTCTTAAGGGTTTGTAAAGGACAGTAGTGGACACAGGGAATTTCTATAACGGACTGGGGGCGGTGGGGTGGGGTGGGGTGTGAATGCTGAGATTTGTGATGTTATATTTGAGAGGGGGTCTAACTTTTTGTGACGATTTGTGACGATGAGGGGAGTGGGGGGGGGGGGGTTAAAAAATTGGCAAAATTTGCATGGCCCATAAGGCATTATTGGTTATATACTGGTTATGGACTATTTCTATTTAACTTTCAACTTTTGTAAATGACTAATTAATTAACTATTGTTTGCGCACTGCCCTCAAAGTTATGAATGAAAGTCTATGGACTCTGTGAATGAAAAAGGTTGGAAACCACTGCAATAACATGTACACTGTACTGTAGAGACCAACCGAATTTCGGCTTCGGTTTCGGCGCCGAAAGTGGCCATTTTATCACTTTCGGCCGAAACTGAAAAGATAACTTTCGGCTTAATTTCGGTTTCGGCCGAAAGACAATAGTAGACTTTCGGCCATCCGGCCGAAAGTGACTCAGGTTTTCGGTCATTTAATACTCAGCGAAAGCGATATTTAACAACAAACTAAGCGACATTTAAGAACAAATTAAGTGATCTTTGAGAACAAACTAAACGATATTTAAAAACAAACTAAGGGACATTTAAGAACAAACTAAAGATCTTTAAAACAAACTAAGCGATCTTTAAGAACAATCTAAGCGATCTTTAATAACAAACTAAACGATCTAATAGAACAAACTAAACGATTTTTAAGACCGAACTAAATGATCTTTAAGAACAAAACAAATAATCTTAAATAGTAAACTAAATGATTTATAAGAATAAACTAAGCGATCGTTGACAGAAAACTAAATGTTCTTTAGGAACAAACTAAAACATCTTTAAGAACAAACTAATCGATCTTAAGGAACAAAATTGATTATCTTTAAGAACAAACTAAGTGATCTTTATGAAAAAACTAAGCGATCTTTACAACAAACTAAGCGATTTTTAACAACAAACTAAACGATCTTTAACAATAAACTAAATGATCTTTAACAACAAAATAAACGATCTTGAACAACAAACTAAAGGATCTTTAACAACAAACTAAACGACCTTTAACAACAAACTAAGCGATCTTTATTAACAAACTCAGCGATCTTAAAGTAGAAACTAACCGATCAACAACAAACAACTAAAATATCTTTAAAAACAAATTAAGCGATCTTTTAGAACCACATTTTTTAGAGACCCTGTCTAAAAAAATAATATTTTGCATTAATTTCCCCTCCTCCCCCCCGCCCCCCTCCCAATTTTTGCCAAATGTTCTCCTACCATACTAATTTTTAAAAAAAATGTAAAGCAATTTAAATTACTTTTATATTAAAATGATAAAATCCAAAGTATTCATTAGATCAAGGGTCTCAAACTCAAATCATAGGGGGAAGGGGGGCACAGGAGGTAGTAATCAAGTAATCCACAAAAAAGCGATTACAATTGTTACAATCTGCTCAACCTTTATAAATAACAATAAAATCATTAAGGGTTCTCAAGAACTACTCACTGTTGCCAGAGACCTGGTATACAAAAATATATAGAAACATTTTTTAAAAAAATCAGAATTAGACTAGTTGGTGAGATTCGACTGAAACCGTCGCGGAAATTCACGTTATAGATATGAGAATGGGGGAAACAGGCCGGCGCATTTACACTAAACTTTTCTGTCATGTAACGGGCTGCAAAATATCGTCTTGCAGGTCACAAATGGCTTGCAGGCCGCGAGTTTGAGACCCCTATAGTAGATGTTTATTTATTAATATTCACGATATCTCATTTTTTATAAAAACAATGTAAATATTTATACTTTCCCCAATCATTTTCGATGTATGCAGAATGTATGCGGGAACGAATGTCAAAAATCTTAATATTTCATTTTTGGTTTCGACTTCGGTTTCGGGCGAAATTCATTTTTAACTTTCGGCCTTTTTTCGGTTTCGGCCGAAAGTCATTTTTAAACTTTCGGCATTTTTTCGGTTTCGGCCGAAAGTCATTTTAAACTTTCGGCCTATTTTCGGCTTTGGCCGAAATCCGAAAATCACATTCGGTCGGCCTCTACTGTACTGTCATGCTGCCCATCACACTACTCTAAATGAGGAAAGAGACTCCATGATTCAAGACCCATATTACCCTTTTAAACTATTAAACTATTAAAACTATGTCTGAAATAAATGATTGAACCTTAAAATTGCTCTTAACTGAAATTAAAGAAGAAATATCTGTACTGGATCTGAAAGTATAAGTGAGCTCCATATTGAATAGGTTGGTTAAAAGTATTCATGTTGGTAATAATAAACAAAACTATGAAAAACTATTCAAAAATAATTTGTTTGTTTTTATTTTAAATATAATTGTTAAATGTTTTTTGCTTGTTCATATTTTTTATCTAAATAAAGAATATGTATTTATACTTGAAAGAACCTGCTTCAGTCCTTGTGTTAAATAAATATAACCTTGTTATACTAAAGTGAGATAGTATTTTCAGAATTACAAGGTTCTGTAGAAAATCTAAAAAATTAATATAAAATCAAAACCAATTCATAGAACATTCATTTTAATGATCATACCTTGAATTGATAAAATAAACAGAAAATAACTACTTTAATAGAAATGTTTTTACTTTATCAAAGCCAAACATCACATTTTCAGACTCGAAATCTCAGTTTGACAAAAAGATCACATAGAATGTTATATTAGGGGGACGATTCCTTATTCTTATTAGGTTTAGACATTTTTTAATTTTTAAATATACAATGAAATAAATTCTAGCTAAAATGTTGGCCTATTATATTGTACAGCTCATTTACAGACTGTGACTGCCTAGTGTAATCAAACAACATTTCTCATTTCTTTTCAGACCAGATGGTAAAAAAATTCGAAGCAAACCTCAGCTTGCTCGCATTCTTGGTGAAGCATTTGATTTAAGTGCCTTTGATTTCCGAACAGGGCGAACTGTTTACAGTGCATGTAGAAAAAGTAAAAGACAAAAAGGTTCATCTTATGACTTTGCAAGAGGTGTGTAGCTAATTATTATAAACTATTGTATACATAATCAGATCTTTCATAAAATCAGAACCAATGTATTAGAAAAATGTACTTGATAAATGTTTTAGATTCGTTATTTAATTTACATTTTATTGAAATTTGGAAATGATATCCCAGTGAACATCTCATTCCTATGACACTAAGGATTGTATTTACTGTTTTTTAAAGCAATTTTGAGTAATTTTTTAATTAAAAAGTGACATAAAATTGGTAATGAAGCATCTAAGTACTTTCATATGTTTGATAAACCCAACCCTTATGACTTTTTAAACTTTTTCCCAAATTATGATCAGGAGTCAGACATGATGCAAGCCTAGTGCTACCAATCAGGCAAACTGCTTCCATATTTAAGCAGCCTGTAACAGTAATCAAAAACAGATCTGAAAGCAAATCAAAAGCAGAACTTAAACATGGGATCCAAGACCAACCAAAGCAGGTTACATTGCTTTAAGTTTTTATCTTGTTTAAACCAATCTGTTCAGGGTTACTTAGTTTCCTGAGAACAAAGAAAGGTTCAGCAGTAATCTAATAACTGAATACTAAAAGGGACTCATTTAATATCCAAAATTGATTATAAATGGATTCTTTCTTCTTTTTCGCCCCAAATTTAAGTCTTCTGAGGCTTTAAATCAAACCTCCAACTTTTAAAAAAGTCATTTGCATATTTTTATATAAGAATAAGCCAATGTCATTGCTTTGAGCTCTGTTCAATAGAGCGAAAAGTAAAATTCCCCTAAATTAAAGTGCACCCATATGGTGTGAGATAAACTTTGTATTTCTAAAAAAAAATGAGGTTCTCAAAAGCTATGATATGGAATTTTGTTTATTTTATGGAAATTTAATTAATTTAAATCTTATAAAATAAATCTGCCTATAGTAGTGGGTATATGTAATCTTTAATATGTAAGTATTTTTATAAATTAGAAAAACATTTAATATAATAATTTAAAGAATTATTTTAAGTATATATCACATTGTGAGAGTTGAGCTATTGTATAAAATGAGATTGACATTCTTTTCTATTTCCTACGTTTTTCTCTTATTAATTTGAAAGCAAACTTCATTTATATAAGTGAAGTCTTATGGCATATATTTTGTCAAATTTTGTTTTTTAAATTTCAAAGGCAAGGAAAGTTTTGGGCGAGGGGCACATTCATATAAATATTAATATCTCCAAACGTGATTATGTTACATATTTTAAAAAAAACAACATTCTTTAAATATACAGAACTGTTTTTTTTAAGAAAATGTAGTACATTTTATACTAAAAGGGAGTGTGACATAAGAATGTTAATATAATTTAGTGGCATGCAGTAGCATACCTAGGTGGATCACCATCCTGGGGTTGCTATTATCAATATTTTAAAGGGGGGGGGGGGTTATGTGCAAACTTTAGATTTCGCCCCAGGCAGCTCTTGATATGCTACATGAAAAGTATAACAATATCTCAAAGTCCAAATAGGTCACACACAGAATATTGGTAAAAAGAAAATTTTACAAATGTTGAAATAATGTATTTACCTTTCTACCCCAAACACATTTCAGGGGGAGAAAAGAGGGTGTAAACATTTTTATGCGGATGGCTAATATCTTTAAATCTCATGATATTACAACCTGAAAAAGTGGTTTTAGATTTTCTTTTAAAATAAATAAACATGTCTTATACCAATGTCGGTTCAAGGCCGTTGACACACTTTGGGCATTTTTACATAAGTATACCCATATCTCATTGAAGTTGTGGAAAGGGAAAATTGTGGATAAGATTTCCATTGAAATTAAGAACATGGAGGAAATTCTTATTTTACCAAAGATACAGTTCAGGGGCGAGAATAACGGTTGTCACATATTTATGACGATAACAATATGTTAATATTAAAACTAATGTATTGTAAACATTGCATGTGTGAAAGAAAGAGAGTGGGAACATTTTTATGTGAGTAACATTGTCACAAAACCAATAATTTTACCAACATAAAAATTTAATCTTTTATTATAACTTTTAAAAAAAGAGCAATCATTTTTTTCATTTCCCAAAAATAAATTTTAGGGGCATCAACAATGATTGGTTAAGATTTTCTTTTTAAAAAAAGGAAATATTTGTCTTTTCATTTTTCGTAAATTACAGTTCATGGAAAAGTGTGATTAAATTTTCATAAAATTAATAATATTTATAAAAAAACAAGAGGCTCTTAGAGACGTGAAAATTGGTTCCGAAATTCTTCTTTAACTATAAAAATGTCAATATTTTTCTGAATGATTTTCCAATAATGTAGATCAGGAGCGAGTCAAAAAGTTGGTTAAATGTTAAATGAATATACCAATACATCAAAATCCATTACTGTTACAGATGTTTAAAATGGTACACAGATATTTTTAAAATTAAGGACATGTTTTTACAAATTTTAGAAAAAATTTTCCTTGTAGTTCACTAGTTAAAAGTTTTTGGTAAGCCTATATAATATCGAAGATAAAAATTTCTCAAAACTCTGTGACGCTAGAAATGTAAACATCAATGCAAAGATACAAATTTTTTTTTAAAAAGCCTTATCTGCTATTTCCTAAATACACATTTCAAGTGTGTGGAATTTTTTGTTGGTTTGTTAATGATACATCAAACCTGATTAAACTACATAATAAAAAAATTGGATTTTTAGATGTTGAGACAACAGCAGGGAGAAAGTAGCGCAGTAACAAAGGGTCAAATTTTATAGTTATTTATGTTTGATTATTCTTCTTCTTTTTAAATGAATCAATTTGCAGATATTCTGGGAAAAGCGTCTCCAGGGTTTGCGTGCTTGCGACAGTAATGAGGAAGTTATTCCTTCTATGGAGTTACCCAAACAAGTGCAAAGTGAGTTTATACCCATTATGATCTAAAGTCCAAGAAATAACTGTATTACTGGTATCATATCAATTTCTTTTAAGTTCTGTAGAAACATTTTTTCAAAAAGTAAACCTAAGGAGATTTCTTTGGTTGCTTTTCATTGTTTTTAAAGACTTGGATCATTAATCCAGTTCCTTTCACCTGAGATTAACTTTATTAAGCTTTTATCATTCTCAATATTTTTAAGGTATTGGTCCAGAGCTCACCACAGAGAATGTATTACAGAGCATATCGGCAGCATTACACATAAATACAGGACCCGTGGTGGGACAAGGAGCAAGCAAACAAGTTATTCTGAAGAATCCTAGTATTAATATGGACACTCAACAACCACACATTCAACAGGTGTGTGCAGACTTTTGAATTCGATTGTTTAAAAGAAATAATTAAAATATTATCCATCCTCAATTAAGCTTAAATTGTTTTGTTCCAGTAAATATTTTTGGCTCATAAGATAGCAGTGGTTCTCAAATCTCTTTGGTGCAATAAAGTCCTCTTGCTTTTTAGAAGCAATTCTTAATAGTTTGTATGATCCTCTAAGATAGACAACAACACTATAGCATAGAAATTATATAATTATAAGTTTTTATCAAAATAAACATGTATTTTTCTTTTATTCATTCAGTAATGATTAACTTCTTCCAGCAATATGGTAGCTTTTTAAAATTTTACAGAATAATTATTGGCATGATTTTTAGAGACTTATTTGTGATTCGGTTAGTGAAATGTTACTATTATAAAAATGTGTTTTTTCAAAATCAATGGGCAGGACTATTAATTAACAGCATTCAGAAAAGGAGTCTATGTCTTTGCTGTAGTGCAAAGTTAAAAAACCTCGGTTCACCAAGAGTTTGAAAAACAATTCAGAGCTACTTAATACATTGTTTCAGGGCATATACAAGTTCTTAACCTTTTGTTTAAGCTAGAAACATATTTTAAACTGAATTAGCTGTCCCTACGCTAAGTTAACAGCCCTGTTCCTTCACTAGGCTAACAGCCATGGTATCTTAAAATTAAAATAAATATATTACACCATGTGTAATGTCCCTAAAAATATATGTAAATGTAGCAAAATAAAAATTCTCTTGTTTGAAAACCCATCAGCAGTCACTTTCCACTTTAAGAACCCCTGATCTATAGTAGGCCAACTGGGCAATGATGTCCTCAAAAAAATGTATTTGTTACTATTAATAATATTTAAAAAAAAGACTTACATTATTTGCACGTCTACATTAAATTCATTATTGGTTATAAACTAATGAGCACCTATTTTAATTATCTACCCATCTTTTATAAACCTTTTTAAAATCTTGGTCAACTTTGATTTTAAAAAAACTATTTTCTTTTTTCTTTTTTTTTTTAAACTTAAACATAGTCTAACTAAGTTTTTGAGAACAAATTATCTCGAAATATAAATATAACATTTTTTCTTCTTCTTATCTTTAGATTCTTGTCTCATCTGATGATATTCACAGACAAGAGCAGCGCGTGCAGTTAGCCAGACAGAAGCTTCAAGATTTAATTCAAACCTTGGAGTGATTTTCCGGATTAATTTAGACATTTTTGAGTGTTAAGTTTATATTTTTGTGAACACAAATGCTGAATGAATTGTAAACAAAGGTTTTAATGCTTTAAATTGAAATAAAAAGTGTAACTTAAAATTGGAGGTGGTTTTGTTTTGTCATTGGAATACATGTATAAGTAATGAAATTACAATTTTTCCTAGGTAACTTCATTTTTATTTTGCAATTATATGACCATAAATCTAGATCTAGTGTAAATAGTGTTACACATGCTTTCTTTTGAACCCCTGTTAACAAGAGATTTAAGTTGAATGACAAAATAATTTTAAATACCTTTTCTTCAAAATGAAAAACAACTTTCAGTTCTTTGAAAGCAACTTCAAATGTACATTGCTAGATTTCATTTGGCATATAAAAGATCTCTATCATCACCCTCCCCAAAAAAGGTAACCTACAGCTATGCCAAAACTATCGCACCATTAGTCTAATAAGCCATCCAAGCAAGGTCATGCTGAAGGTCATATTGAACCGACCAAAACCATATGCCGACAAAATCATTGCTGAAGAACAGGCGGGCTTCAGGCAAGGACGGGGCACCACTGAGCAGATTCTAAACCTCCGAATTTCATGTCACTCCCTGTTCCTGATAGGTTTCTCTCTCTCTCTCTCTTTTTTCTCTTCTGTGTGATGATTAATATAAATGCCTGCTACTTGTCAAGTAATGCTACTGCTTAACTTTTGTGACCTCCCCCTTTTCTACATTACAACTTCTCCTGTGCTCTCACGTGATTTCCCAAAAACTGAATAGACTCTACATGAATGTCATTGGAAAATGTTTTCACTCTCGAATGTTTTAACTTTTACAAACGTCCACATTTTTAAAGCTTTGGCAGACGACCATTGAAAACCTCGGGACTCGGTTTGGACAGCACTTTATCAATTTACCTTTTCCTTTATTAACTTTATACAGAGATGTTTATACAGAGATGTTTATACAGAGATGTTTATACAGAGATGTTTGTCTTTTTTCTTTAAAAAAACGAAGAACAACCATGTACCAGAAATCTTGGGCGAATCTAGGATGTTTTATAAGATTTAGCGCATTTTAATGAGTAATTGTTAGGCTAACAGTAGCAAGAAATAGCATCAGAATATGTGCGTCCTAAAAATGCCAACATCAAATGAGCGCCAAAGTCGTCATTAGATTGGATTTTTTATAGTAAATAAAACAATACAATCCTAAATACTTAATAAACACAAGGCCTAAAATCGTACTTTTACTCGTCCCTCATTTTTTGCTATATATTAAAAAAAAAAATTAAAAAAAAATAAAAAAAAAAAAAAAAACAAATGAAATAGAGTGATAGAGAAGACTTAAAAAATAATAGGTATATTTACAAATATAACTTGTGCACATTTTAAATGAATTAAATAAAAAATAATAGAAAATTTAGTAACAATTGCTGCGAAACAAAATATAAGCTAAATGAAACTGCAAAGTTCTGAAAATAATAGGCTACTTGTTAAATTGTATGTGATTATTTATCTTAGAAAGATCCATATCTTTAGTCTTTAGTTATCAATACGACACAGACCTGTGTAAAAGTTATATTTCCCGTAGTCACAATTAAAATTATGCAAATCTTAAAATGATTCACAGCGCTCCTTATATAAAAAGAAGCAAATTAATTGTTGTTTAAAATGTTATTAAATATAAAAATAAATGAAATGTCACCAGGCCCGTTCTTAGGCATACGCTGACTACGCATCCGCGTAGGGCCACGAACGTGAGGGGGCCCCCGTGAGGCGCCCTCGATCCCCCGTTTTTTTAAAACTGGCACTGCAGCCGTCTGTGTCACTCATGTTACCTTTCTCATTCTGAAATTTATCATTCTGAGTTGAATTCGGAGGCAGGGGAAGCAGCAGGGGGGGTGAGCTTTGGGGGTGGCAGACAGGAAATCGGCAGAATGGAGGTGCCGCAGTGGTGGGTGGTGTTTTCTCCTCAGCTCGAGGGAGCGCCACCCCCGGACTCCCCCCCCCCCCCCCCCCCCCCCCCCCCCCCCCCCCCCC